TTAGAACATTCTGTGTTTCATCCCTTAACCGTAAACAAAGGTAGAGCCATTCGTGTGAATAGAAGCTGGAGCCATTGGTAGAGCCTTCTACTCACTGCGTTTACGAGGTTAATTCTCAAGGCTAAATTCGCAAAAAGATTTTGAAAGGCGAAGAAAGGTGAGAAAATTAGTGAAAGAAAATTTGCAGCGAAGGTGATGTAGGATTAAGATGATAAATCTTGCTTCCCATGTTGTACCATCGCTGATGAGGTGCTGAAGCTGGTTTGCATAAAAGATTTAGTGATATTTTGCTAGAAAGGGAGCAGTTCTTTTCGTTTTGATTTGTATGTGCTTTCATTTCTTAAATCCATTGCAAACATCATTTACCTCACTTTTTTTCAGCGAGAATCAAATTTGCAGTAAAAGGAAAACACTTTTACGACACTCGAAAAAGCTGGTTTTCGGAATTTTTTTTTCTCCAAAGCCTTGTTCTGAATATCTTATTGTGATCATTGCAATGGCAGCAATACTATTCTTGATGATTTTTGGACGTTGCTTGGCACAAGCCCCAGAATATTTCAACCAAAATACCAGGTGCAGTGTTATGCATTTTCCTAATCTACTTTTCTTATTCACAGCATGACAAGAAACGCTTTTTGAAAGACGAAGCGAAGAAAGTGAAAACCTTCTTCGCATTTCACTTACTATCTGAGGCCGAGACACTCGGGAAGCATCCCTGAGTGGTAGTAAACGCCAATAGCAACCACTCGCTGGCAAGGATCTCGTTAGCTTTCATTCTAGATGCTTGGTTGTAAGCAGTTGATGGCAAGTTTGATTCCTTGGCTATTCCAGTGCTAACTCTTCATCAAAATAAATAGCGGATCGTTGAGAATCTGGTCGACAAGACATATACTGTATTTCATTTTAACTCCAACGGCAGGCTGCGCTGAGAAAGTAACGTAATATTTTATCAAGGAGGCAGTATAGCCAACTTTCTCAGTTCATGTTTTCCTACCCTTATACGATTACTTCGTAGTCTATCTACCGGACGAATTATGGAGGTATTTTTGCTATTCGAGCAATATAAGACTGCTGGGTTAATAAAGTTGGATAGGTATCAGTAATGTTAAAGCAGCAAAGTTCCTCACGTGAGGGATTAACTACGGGATGTAGGAAAAAGGGGATGGAGAGAGTAATTCACAGTTCGAGCAATATAAATTCATTCAGTTTCTTTCTGGACATTTTTGAATTTTCCCGCATTAGAAGCGAAAAAATGCATAGCTGAAATGGGGTACCTGTGGTGTTTGCTTGCCAAAACTGGTCTACTGGCTAACGTCAATTGTCTTTTGCTAGTTTGTGTTTGGTTTTAAAACCGGTTTCAAACCTTTTACCCACAGGCGCGATCCGATAAATTTGTCTGGGCACTTAGTTTATACAATGCAATTTTATAAGTGCTTTAATACGAAATTTTACACACCACTTTTAAAATGCTCGGATTGTCTTAACCAGTCTGGGGCGATATGGAAATATTCGAACACGCCGAGTGAAGCTAATAGCCGATCATTCAGCTATTTCTGAATGTCGATGAATAATGAGAAAATAACTGGTCTTAGTGATTTATCCAATTTTAAAACAAGGAAAGGATATATTCTGATTTAGCTGTTATCTCCCGAAAATTTTTGCCTCTTAAGTGGCAGGAATTCTAATGAAATGTTCAGACAACGAAAGAACACTAGATGATAATGCAGTATATTGCCTAGAACCTTTTGGTCGGCACCTGAAGGTTTCGAGCTAGGATATCGCTTGGAGAGGATTTGAAAGTTTTTTTTCGAACAGTCCTTAAGCTG